ATGCCGGCGTTGTAGACCTCTTGAGTTTGTCTCTCCCCGTCTCTGTCTCTTTCTCTCTCTGCTTGTCTGTCTCTGTCGCTGTTGGGGTTGGGGCCTGGTCGCCAAAGCCTTAGAGCTCTCGGCCCCAAGGCCTGTGGGAGAGTTTTTTGGGATTAGGGCCCCGGCAAAGAAGAAGCCGAGAAGTGTGGCTCCAACCTTGGCAGTTTCTTGGGACGCCGACACCTCATGCCTGGCGGTTGAAAATTCTCAACCGCGGTTCAAGTCCATTGCGAAACGCTTCTCCTCTTCCACAGCCCAACAATCAGCAATCATCAGCAATCCCGACACCTCTATACACCTCTGTTCCTAGGCAGCCTGAACCAGAAGGCCTCCCAAATCCTTGAGACAGGTGCAAGCATGCTGGCCCAGTCCACAAGGAGCCAGAAGCTGCCACCTCAGGAGCATCATCATCAGTATTGTTGTTGTTACTATTCTTATTATGATTATTATGAATATTACTATTTTAGCATTGTTACTCTTCATATTCTAAACACTCATGTCCAGTGGGCCGGAGGGTTGCACTCAAAGTCGGCTGCAGCTCCGCAACAAGAAGTCTAACTAACCGAAATCTGCCACAATCTCTTAGGCCAGGGATGGCGAGAATTTCCAATCCAACAGGTGCTTGTAGAGCTGAGATTGTTGGATCACCCGTAGCGCCGCAAAACGAAAACCTCAGCGTGCGAGAGCTGAGAAGACGGCAGCAGCGGTGCGAGCAGCTACCTTGGTCTTGCGGTGGTCACGAATATGCGGCTGAATCAAGAGCATACATGCACACTTTGACCAGCTCAAGTAATTTGGTTGTTTACGTCCATTTGCATCCTCACCGGACGTCGGCTGTATCAACTCAAAGCATTCTGGAGGTGGGGGCAGCTGCCCTCTACCAACTACCCTGCATCTTCCTACCAAATTTTGGAAGGCCTTCACATCGCCCAGTCTGAAGCCGAAGCTTTGCGACACGGCGACACCAAAGACGCGCCCGAGCCACTTCACAGTGCTCCACAACGCATCGCAGCGCAACGTTGGAACATCCATTTAGGCACGAGCCTTACGACATGATACCCGGCGTCCCCGACCCTTAGCCCTAACCACCCGGTGCTGACGACGACTTTCTCCACATCTACAGCGACGACGATGATCAGCATCACCCTCAGCACCGGGTTCCGTGCCAGAGCCCTCAGCCATGTCCTGGAAAGCCAAGATGAAGAGCAAGATGATGAGCAGGCCCTGAAAGGCACAGGCACAGACGAGGGGGTGGCTGTATTTGATGTATGCGTATTGGTCATGGACGGATTCAACCACATGAGCTCACAATTGAGCAGGCAGTAGTGAGGGGTCAGCTTTAGAATAGGTATTGTTTCGGGTTCATGCACCATTGCAGACTGCAGGGGAGGGGTGCATCCTTCTGAAACCCTCGGCTGGACATCCCAAGCTCTGCGCCCAGATGATGTCCACGACGATCTGTGACGGAATGCGCGCATTGGACTTCTACACTCAGCCCCATTGGAAGCCGTGGCTCATGATTCGTTGCGAGCTCGCCCGCCTCCAACGCGGAGATCCAGACTTGCGTCGGCAAGGACCGGACATCCAGCAAAGGCCTCGAAGGTGGCATATTTTTCCAGTGGTTTATCGCCGACAAAGTCTGAAACTATGCTGTGTTCAGAGGGCGAGGGCTCAAGGCAACGAAAGGGCAACTCGTGGTGATTGTGATCGCCTTCTCAGAAACGACTCCAGACATCCTGGCCCTTCTCAGGTCTGCGAGGCATGCATACATGATGCGGGCAGTTCTCACGCGTCTCGTTCTTGAGGGCCGGGCTGCACCAAGCCACCCCGAACGAAGTTGATCATCAACTGTGCAAGTATTCCAGCAGTGTGACAAGTTGCTTCAAGGCAAGGCTGAACTTGCAACAGCTGCAGAGTTTTTCGGGTACAACTACTTGCGGATGGGGCCATGGGATGGAGGGGGGGCCATGGGATGGGTACAGTCCTGCAACTTCATGTCACGGCACTAGGGGCAGCTTTCGGCTTGGTAACTTGTGCCTGCACATGAATGTAGCTTCTGATATCCGGGTTGAGGACCGTCACGGACACCTTGCAACATGGAGCCATCAATGTCGAGTAAGTCTGAAAGCTGTGTGAATGCGAAATCTGAGCGCCAATTCCACTCAACCGTGAAGCGCATATGTTGGGGACTTCAACTTGATGTTAGGCTGTTCGGAGCGCTTATTGCAAGAGGGTCCCACGAGTACAACCCTCTGGCTCGACCCTCACCTGCAAGTAGTCCGTGGCGTCGTCCAGCCACCCTTGTGACTGGAGCTCTCGTGCACGGAGGATTCCTGAGCAGGAGGCATGGGTCACTTCTCAAAACAGAGTCGCAGAAGGCACGTTGTGGGGGAGGGAGGGGGGGCCGCCTCATTTTCGATATGAGTACAAGTATCCTACTGAATACTCATAACACTGGCCAAAATGTTCATGTACAAGCCCCATTGACGGTGTACTGAAGTAAGCTTGCCCGATGCGGGAGAATGCTGTGCAGGCGAGGCTATGCTTCCACCATGTGATGATGACGTGCCTCACAACAAAACTCGCGTGTCGACTGAAGCAATGGTTCGTGTCCCTTGTGGATAGAACTTGCTGTCCTGCCTTTTCGAAAGCTCACCATGGGGATGCCAGCGCTTGCAGAGCTTTCATTTCATTTGAATATGATATGACTGTTGGCTCCGTGTAGAACAGAACCCGAACACCGACAACACCAGCACTACGCAGTCAAATGAAGGATGATGAGGCCCGCCGCAGCTCACGAGTCGCTAACGAAGCATGTTGCACTGTACTCTGTACCAACCAACAAACAAACAAACAAGCACTGGCGGGTCAGCTTTGGCCACCATGACTCTCCTGGAAGCTTTACTGGTTTAACTTGAGCACTTTAACCCCTGGCCGGGTCTGCGGCCATGAATGTCCATCATGCTGTTGTTGGACTCCACGCGGTGGATCTCAGCGGGAGGGACACGGAGGCCACTGCAGGTGCGCCAAGGATCACTGCCACATTGCTCGTTTCCTCAGAACTTCCTCGTCACTGAGGAGAACTTCCTTCAACTTCTTTCAAATTTCAATCCTCCTCCCTCATCACTGAGGAACTGAAGTGGTGCTGAAACCCCTCACACAGAGCCAGCCGCCCGAAGGAAGGCATAGAACAGCTCCTTCCATGATGGCTGCGTTTCTTTAGGCTGCGGCTTTGGGGCTTCGGGCTTCGCAGCTCATTCCCTAAGACAGTAAGGTCTTGCCGTCGTGTAGCGCCTACTGGCAATGCTTGCGGGTCGCGGCAGGCTTGCGCTAAGCTGTGCGTGCACGCTGAGCTCCAGCCACTATGCTTGCGACTTCGGTGTGCGCGGACTTGTATTGCAACAAGCTCCTCCGGATTAGCTTTCCACGTAGGCACAGACACCTGCGGACGAAGGGCAGGAGTGGGCTTCCTTGGTTGGTTCTGGGGGGTGGCATCAACATGGCTACTCGCTGTCGAGCTGGGACATGCGCTAGGATCACTAGGATGACAGCAACCTGAACCCGCCTGAACACACATTCCATTTCTTCCCCACTCTGCTGCCTGGATGTCCCCTCCGGCAACGAAGGAGCGGTCGATGAGGTCGGGGCCGGTGTTGTTCACCTCAGTGCCGAGTTGGCTTGCCATTGTCCCCCTCTCCCTAAGCCCCTGAACCTTTTACTAGACTTAAACAGCCCTAAAAGATGCAGCTTCCCGAAAGCTTGAGGCCGAACCTCCGGGCCGAAGCGTAGCGCCAACGAGCCGGCAGACCGGCAGTCCGCCCTGCGGACCCAGGGTTTTGGGGTTTAGGGTTTAGGGTTTAGGGTGTAGTTTGGGGGGTTTGGGGATTTCAGCGCGTCCAACACCGACGCCGACTCCACACACGCCACCATCACCAACCAAAAGCAGCAGCAGCAACAAGAGCACTCATGCATTCCTGCATCAGCCCGTGCACTCGTCCATACAGCCGTTCATGCCTTTTTGTTCACCACCCTCGGAGTGGGTTGTTCAACTTTAAACCAAACTCTTCTCCTCGCCCGGTCTACTCCTCGCCCATCACCCGTATCCCACCCCAGAGGATCCCCAGAAAGTCCCTGGAGTGCCTAACCCGAGAGCAGAACCCCAGAATGTCCCCAGAGAGTCCCTGAAGTGCCCAACCCAGTATCCAATCTCTGGAGTCAGAGAGTCCTGGAAGATAGTCCCCCAACCCCAGTATTCTCGGAATTTCTCTGGCTTGCCCAACCAGTGCCCAACTCCAAGAGATTTTCTGGAGCGCCCAGCCGCAACCCAGAGTATCTTCCCGGAGTGCACAACTCCTGATGATCCTCATAGAGTCCCAAGAGTCCCAACCCCAGAGTATCCAACCCCGGAGTATCCCCAGAGAATCACTGCAGCGACACCCAGAGAATCCCCAACGTGTCCCCAGACCCCGGAAGAGAGCCCCCCAATCCTACAGAGAATCAGAGCAACTTTCTTGCCTGCAAGGTGGGGATGTTCGAAGTAAATTCATGTAGTTGCTTCATTTTCTTCCTCTTTCTTTTCGCTCTGACTTTCTTCCTTCTTGGGACGGCTTTGGGGACTCGGGACGTCGTGTGGCTTTCCAGAAACCCCACACTCCGACCCCCCCTCCCCCCACCCCACCTCCAAATAAAACAAGAAGCCAGAAAAAGCCCCCAACCCTCCTTCAACCCAGGAACCCAGCTTATCCTCACTGCCCAGCACCTACACAACCGGATTCAGAGCTTGAGCGCGGAGCTGAAACTGCCTTGAGAATGCGGTGGTGCTGTGGCTTAAATTGCAAAATCACAAACTACCAATCGACCCCAAATCTGCTAGAAAAACAACGAGGGCGACTTCACCCTGAGCATGTTCCCAGGTCATTACGAGCCTGAAGTACTGGCGCAGCTCCTCCACCACGGGGCAGTCAACGTCTCGGTTGCGAGGAGGCATGAAAACATAGAACAACACTGGCCAACAAAAGCCTGCACGAAGCATAGGTTGCGCAACACTTTCAGGAAATCTAAGTCTACGTCATTGTGGACTCTGGCGACACACCTGTCTTATGTAGATCTGCAGACCCCCTTTGATAGATCCCCACAGAGCCATGCAACCTTCAGAATGAGAGACCTAAGCATCAACTTCGCAAAAGCATCGCTCAAGAGAGTCTGAGCGCCGCGCCTGCTACCCGTCTCTGGCGAAGCTGGATTCCTGGACGGATCACCTGAACAGATACACGGATCGGTTCTTGGCCAATGGTGCCGCAAGGGTCTTGAGTTTCCCTCAACTACTGAATGCGCTGCTGTTGACGTTGGAGGCCTGGCCTGGTTGAACTTTCGTAGCACACCTGGCTCCTCGAGGCTGCCTGCGAAGAGGGGGATGAAGCCCTCGAGCATCCACGTCCACACCTGGCATTCGGGAGGGACTGACATTGACGCTGACTATTATTGCGAACTTGCACGCAGCTTCGGCTGCATCCAAAGTCCGCGAGCTGGAGGCCTCCTCCACCACACTGATGTTCGCAAGGCGTATCCTTGCAAGATACACTTCAACAGATCTGGACCGTCTGAACCTTGCAACATCTCCGGGCGAGGAAAGCATGCGGGCAGTTCTGAATCTAAGGACTCGCTTTATCCTAAGCCAAACATTTGGTCCAACGGTCCAGCATTCAACCACACTGATCGGTCGCTGTGTGTCTGTGTGTCTGTGTGTCTCTGTGTCTCTGCGTCTCTGGGTCTCTGTGTCTCTGTGTCTCTGTGTCTCTGTGTCTCTGTGTCTCTGTGTCTCTGCGTCTCTGTGTCTCTGTGTCTCTGTGTCTCTGTGTGTGTTTTTCCCGGTCCTTTTGGCGACTGGCTCTCCCTGCAGTGAAGAGATCTGGTGCTGCACCTTTGTCAGGCCAAGGAGAGTCGCTTCTGATTCTGTGGCAGATCGGCGGGCCTTAGGCATGCGAGATGTCGAAAGCCCCGCACCTCTATTCCTTCGATCGCGTTGCGGATCATGCTCTGCGCTCGGGCCGTCTGCTCCACGTTGCCATGAGACCTGTAGATACTGTATGTTGTTGGTGTGCGACTACCGACTACCGTAGAATAACAGCAGTTCATCTGTGACGCATCTGCCCTTCCCCTCAAGGCCCAAAGGGCACATGACTTTCCAAGAGGACCTACCTGCAAAAAGATGGGTAGGAATATCGGAGGCCAACCAATCACGCAAGACTCAAGACGCAAGGAAGCTCCTGATGCGCTGCTTTCTGGCATTGTATATCTTAACACATGAGCTGAAACTGAGCCGAAGGCCATGCGGTGGCCGTGAACACGAACCATATCTTGGCAGAGACAGCACGATGCCGAGTCGGCACTCAGCATGCCCAATCTGATATCGTAGAGGTCTTCACAACAAACTGCACCTTGTTAACATCGAATCGACTCTCGGGGGCCAAGCGCAGACGGTCAAAGGCAACGTGCCACAGAAGCGGACACGGTCCTCAGCACAATTCTCAGGAGTCAGGAACGATCAGGAATGCATGGGCGCAACCGGCAATGGCGCTTCGATTTGCACGCCAAATGTTCTGATTCTGTCAATCAGCGCTGCGATGCTACTTGTGCCACATCCAACTCCTCTTCCGCACTGATGGACTCTACAACGCTGAAGGTTCAGGGCTTCGGGAAGTGAGCAGAAGCCCATCTTCTGCACAAGGCCGACGCCCGCTCCGAGGCCAGGAAGTCGCGCACCTCGGCAGGGCAGAAGCACCTAACAAACGTCTGCCCGGGCATGGTCCACCCAATGGAAACAGCCAGCAAGCCTGTGAATCAACAGCTTGCAGCTTGCGGGACCTTGTCTGGTCCTACTTGCTACAGCAAGACTAAACTCAAGCCTAGCTCCCGAAACAACCAATGCTGGAAGGAAAGCCTCGGAGGAGAGAGAGAGAGAGGGAGAGAGAGGGAGAGAGAGGGAGAGAGAGGGAGAGAGAGGGAGAGAGAGGGAGAGAGAGGGAGAGAGAGGGAGATGAAGATCACGGTGCAAAATGTACAGGCAGAGACAGAGACAACAGACACGTAGTCCGCATCCGACAAGACCAAACCTTTCATGCAGGCTGCCTCAAGCCCTTCTCGCTTGATGGATCAAGTCATCCAGGACAGCCATCAGGTTTGAAGAGTTCGGCCTACTAGAGCTGCCTGAGGCCTGCACTTGCTGGCGGGTCAAGGCCTGGACCGCGCACAACTATTGCGGTCTGCGTCTGGCAGCTAGCGATTTTTTAGTAGATTCCGACATGCACCAGTGCATGGTTCGGCACCTCGTCTTCCACCTTCTTCTGCGCATTGACCTGAGTCTCCACGTGTACTGGCATCTTGCCTCTGATTGCCTCAGGTAACTTTCGAATCTTCCGTGAGCCTTTCGTTTGTGGCTTTTTGGGACCCTCTGGGGCCGAGGCGGTGCTGGACATTTGCCGCTCTTTGAGATCTACAACCGGGTCATCCTGCTTCGGTCAAGCATGTCTGAGCATGTCTAAGCACGTCTGAGCTCACATTCTCTGACAAAGAAGGATGGGTCAACTGAGTTTTGAATGCGGCTGGCAAGCATTGGGTAACAATGGAGTTTCAGTGAACTCATGAGGACCCATTGCAAGCTCACAAGACTCCTGTTGGTCTGCACTCTTCACGCATTGCCCCATTGTAGCTGGAACCACTATCCGCCGACCCCATTCGATCAATCTCATTCTACACATGTTGCCGCTCTGCATGCTGAGTGGCCGCATTCAAGGCTGTTTCTCCCCGCCGTACGTTTCCCTTCCTTGGTGGATGGCGCGCCCCCCTGACTGAATTGCATTCCTTTGCGACACCTTTCGATACCCAGCGGCCGAGACCAAGACTTTCTCAGGCACCGTGGGGGGGTGGGGAGTCCCCTGAAGAAACTTTCCGAACTTGTTCACTCTTCCTGCCTGCAGCGCGGGCTGTGCCATATCCGCCCCGCCACCTGCAACGCTGCGAAGCTCTGAACTCACATACCTTTCGTGCATATTCACGCATGTTCACACCCTGAGCTTAGACAAAGGGAGACCGTAGCCTCAGCTGACCATCCCGGCCATGAAAACACGGGCACTTCCCGGAATCAGGAACTCCCCGCTTCTAGAGTCTTTTGGATGAAGAGTGCGTCTTCTCTAAACATGCTTGAGCTTGCTGAGGGCTGGGGGCTGTGGGCTGTCAGCTGTAGGCTGTGGGCTGTGTCTGTGGGCTGTCTGGGTGCTGAGCAATGATACCTGGACCGTCCATGAACTTTCATGAACTGTTTGACTCCTCCCGGCCCTTCGGGCCGAACTGGTAGCAAGATGCGGCAGAGTGAAAGCCGCCATCCATTCCTGCCTACTGGCCTCGCTAGCTGCTAGTTTGCATCTGTCTCATGATCAAACACGAAGAAGAAAGCTGGGCCCAGGTTTCACCATGCCTAATGTGCAAAAGCCTCCAGCCCACTCTCATCTATGGTTCGCCTCTATACTCTCCCAGGATGCTTCAATGCTCACAAATGCTCGCAAATCTCCACCGTACCACGGCATCCTGCCCGTCGCGGCAGCGTGGCTGAGATGGGTCGAGGGCTGACGGGAAAGGAATGATGACATCCAGGCATTTGACAGACAAGGTCTTAGTGGATGAACTTCACAGCGCCCTAAAAATTCTCCAGCTAGCCGATGCCCAGTAATGGCTTTCCGCCTAAGACAGGCTCAACGTCGGTGGGTGCTTAAGCTATACACTGACAGTCGTTGTCACACTTGGCTGCACCTCGCTCACGTGTTTGGACATGGCAAATGCCGGTGGGCTGTGTCAGCCGTCCATGCTATTGGACATGATGCACGCGCCTGCTTGCACGTCAGTCGTCTTCAGATGTGCTGGTTCGGAATGCAGGGTTTTGTAAGACAACTGTCGCACACTTCGATCAATAATCACCTCTGTGGCCAAAGCCTTTGCAGAGGTTCGGCCGAGCATCGACGGGAAACCGCAGGCTTCGCTAGCTCGCTGGCTCACTCTCTAAACGGCTACGACTGACAGCGCTGTTGGTATTCTTGTTGAATCGGTTTCCATCTCAACGCTCGGCTTCGAAGCGTCATGCAGGGGGCTTTGCATCGTCTGCTCTGCTGCAACGCCGAGGTGGATCTGGGCCACGCAAACCAAGGACATCAGAGAACCTTCAGAGCTTTCCCAATCTTTCTAACATACACGAGACGAAGACCTGCGAGCTATGGTAAGACACCTGACCTCCAAGCTGAAACCCTACAACCTCGGATCCCGACATGTGATGGAACAAATTCAAGTGCAATTGAGCTGTCATGAGGATCGAAGCTAGAAAAGAGGCTTGAAGCAACTGAACAGGCTCGCGGTGCCCCAATCGTGGGCGTCTGAAAACCCTTCTTGTGGCCTTGGGGGGTTTCACAGGGGCCTCCCCACCCGTAGGCTCCCCGCCATGTGAGACAGACTTCGACGCACAGGGATGGAGCCAAGCCTTCAAGCATCAAGCCACCAGTACCAAGACTCTTGCCCAGCATCTGCGCTGCGAAGTCCAAGAACTTATCAAGACACTCAGTAAGCTGCAACATGCATCAAAACATCCTAGCTCCACAAACAACCATCGCGACAACTGTGGACACACTAAGTTTGACTGTAGATGCTCACATCTCTGGACCGATGTCAGCTCTGGAGACTCTGCTACTTCGCCGGGCCTCAGGGTCGCCGTCCTCGTCCCCGGCCTGCCAAAGGGGGAAGGGGCAAGGACTTTCTGGGTACACGTCAAGCTGTCGGGCTCTTGCAACGACTCAACAGATGGGGCTGAGGACCGCTTAGTAGTAAGACACGAATCATGGTCCAGCAGGTGGAAGCAGACAAAGCATTGACTCCCACCCCCATTGTCTTCACTGCTTTCACCTTCTCAAACTCTCGCCCCGAGGCCTCCGCCTCCTCCGCCTCCTCCGCGCCCTCCGCCACCATAGCTTTGCCGGCCTCGGCCACCTCCGCCTGCACTGTGAAGCTCTCTAAGGAACATGCGGAGCATACTGTACTGGCCAGCAAAAACCATCAAAGAACTCCTTGTTGATACCATGGCAGGGCCTTGAGCGCAATCTGAGAAAATGTTGGTTTGGCCAACATGTTCCAAAGCCTTGCCAACAAAACAAAACAGTACGGTTTTGGGAATATGGCTGGTCCTGGTCTCATCTCAAAAAAGTTGGCCACATTTTTTGCTCATATCCGGCCATGCTAAAAAATTGCCCACACCCCTTCACCAAAAGCCATTTTGGGTGGTCATAAGGTCTGTTGAATTCTGGCTACGTGAGCTGCGTTGTCTCAAAGTTTCGGCGTTTTGACAGCAACACATTGGGACACAACAACAACCTCGCTCTATAACAAATGAAACATGCGCTGATGTCCCAATGGATTGCGCTTACAATTCCACAAAAGCCAAGAAAGAATGACAAGCTCTTCATCGTCGAAAGAATCCTCACTAGCCTTCAGAAACAAAACGAACTGCCTTTACTTTCTTTGACAGGTCTATAGTAGAGCGCCATGCACTCAAAAGGACAGCGAGGAAGAAAAGGAAAGAGCCTCGTTGTGGGCGATATATGGAAACTCATGGTTTTTGGCTGCTGACAGGCTCCGAGTGCTGCAAATTACAGCGCTTCTGGGCTGTTGATCCGCATGCTGTAAACTACCACATTTCTGGCCTGGGCTTCGAAGGCTGCAAATAAGTGTTTGGCTGTTGGCGAGCTCCGAATGCCGTAACAGCAGGTCGAACTAGGGCTTGAAGAGGTGCTTTGAATCAATACATCTGCACACGTACGGGCGGCTTGATACAGGCTCCTGAATGCTGTAGCATGCAGCCGTTTTGGGCTGTTGATTAGCTCGCAAAGATGCCCAATAACAGCATCGCTGGGCGTTGTCAATTTCAAGCTTTGTAGGTAATGTTGGTAGAGTGTCTGCAATGTTGGTAGAGTGTCTGCGCACAAAGAAGGCAGACATTCAGACGATCTGTCCGCACATGTTCTCGCAAACTGTAGTCCGTTTGCCCTGAGTATAAAATCCCAAGGTGCAAGCAGCATTTGCAACTTAATGCCTTGACGGTCGCCCCCAGCACCGTGCCCTCCAATCCAGAAACCCAGCTTGTTCTTCTATTTATTCTTCTTCTGCTTCGGCTTCTGCTTCTTCTTCTATGTCTTCTCATTGTTTGTCTTGTTTCTTCTTCTTCTTTTCTTTTCATTCTTCTTCTTCGTCTTCTCCTTACTTCTTCATAATTATTCTTACTTCTTCTTACTTCTTCTTGCTTCTTCCCCATCTCAGGTACT